GTGGTAATAACTTGTGAGATTATTAACTCATTGTCATTGTGTTAGGGACAAAAGCATGAAGTTTGAAACCTGACTTGAGGAATTGTTAATCAAGAATCATTCATATGAGTTAAATTTCTCAAATATTTTTGTATATCCCAGAAGAACCAATAATTCTTTCTTAGTCTAGCCCCATTACAAGCCTCAAAAGACCTTTTGATTTAAGTCTTGTTTAACATTTGTTGATTGCTTGAAGATGATTATCAATATTTGATTGTCTAAATGAAGTGATTGAATGAGATAAAAACTTACCTGTGAGAATTAGAGATGAGTATATATAACTCTATTCGAGAGATCATGCTTCTCTGAAGATAGTTGATGACTAATTATTCTATGTTGGTTTCTATAACTTGAATGCTTATGTGTTCTATTTTCATTTGGAGTTGTGAGCATCACCCCTGAAAATTTTTATGTTGTGGTTCTAGAAGAGAAAGAGATAATAGGTGATGATTTTGTTTTGGAAAAACTACTTTGCTTGGGATAAGCAAGATTCTAGGTTGGGGGGAGTTGTTAAGTGGTAAAAAGTTGATATAATTATGCCTTGAATTGTTATGAAACCACTTAACTTATGTTAATTCTAATATATTTTTCTCCCAAGAATTCAAGAATACCTTGATACAAGAGTAAGGAGCATAATTGTCAGCATAATTGGAGTAAAATTGAAAGAAAGAAGAGCGTTTAAGCGAATGAATGATGTGAGGCCCGACCCAAATTCTCTTATAAAAAGATAAGTTGTGTTTTGAGAAAAGCAAGCAGTCTTGGAGGAGAGGAGACATGACTACTGTTAGGGTTTTGTCTAATCTTCATCAATTCTTCACTTCTTCATCAATTGAAGCATTGTAATGGCCAACATGAGTGGCTAACTTCATTCTCTTAGGATTCGGTGCACTTTCTTTGAACTCTTTTGTATCATGGTGATATTTTGAGATCTTAATCTATGCTTTGATGTTGTTATTCTTATCCTTTATGCTTTGGAATGATTTATTCTTGATTGTTTGAGGTATGATTGGAAAATATATCTTGAACCCTAGATCACGGTAAGAATATTTGTTACGTTAATTGCCAAGAATGGAATGAATGTATCAATTGCTTAACACCCTAACCCTAATGCTGGAAAATCTGTTAATTGTGTGAGGAATCAACATTTATTATGTTTTCTTATGAATTTCATGTGTGAGGAATCAACATGGATGATTTGAGTAGGTGACATCAACATTGTTAGGTTAATTGACGTTCTTAATTGACATAGCCATTACAAAAGAGAGATAAGGAAGGAAGTCAATCCTAAGTATTTTTAATTGATATTTTCTCAACAATTTACAATTCTTTGCCATTTAATTTCAATTCAACTCTTATTTGCAAAACCCAATCTGTTTTAATCTACTTAGTAAGCATAATTGAGAATTTTCATTGAAACTGTTCCTCGTGGGATCAACTTTTATTTTATCGAAATACTATACTACGATTGATAATTTTGGTACGCTTACCAATAATTCAACAATGGGGGTACAATTTCATGCAAAATATTTTTTTTTCCTTACCGAATGATGCAAATTCACTATTATTATACTCACCACCACCATCTGATCTCAAGACTTTAATAACTTTGTCACTTTTTTCTCAACCAACTTTTTGAACTTGACAAAATAGTTACAAATTTTCGATTTTCTCTCGAGAAAATAAAATCATTTTTTCTTACATAAATCATTGATGAACAAAAATAAATGTTTCTAACATTCCTTCACTCCTAGTCTCAATACACACCTTGAACGAATTTCTTGCTTGTGTTTCCTTTGATGCAACTTTCACAAATATCTTTACATTTTTAAGTTTGAGGTAATCTTATCACCACTCCTTCTTAGCTAGTTCACTTAGACTATCAAAATTTAGATGATCATACCTCAGATACCATAACCAATTGACATAAGAAATTGTAACTACAAAATACATATGATTCGATACTAAAATATCGACTCTAAAGGTCATGTTCTTGCTCAGAGGAGCCTTAATAATTGATGTCCCATTTTTATCGGGAATTCTCAATATTTTCTCATTCAATCTCCAATCAATTAAATCCCCTCTTTGCAGAAGTTGACCGATACTCAATAGATTGTACTTCATGGCTGGAACATAGAGTACATGAAATTATTGTATATTTTCCATCTCTTCTTATAATCAAAATCTTTCACTTTTCTTCACAATTTACTATAAAATTATCTGCAAACCTTCACTTTAATCTTTTCATACAATTCGACAAATCAACTCTTCTAAAATGAAATATGATTGGAACAATCTGTGTCAAAATACCAAGATTCTCCATATGTTTTCTCTGATTTTGTCGTGATCACTATCAACAAAACTTTATCGTCAGAGTCTTTCTTTTGCGCCACATTTGTTTCTTCTTCATTATTGTCTGAACCTTTGTTTTAATAATCAGCTGCATAATGACCATATTTGTTGCAATTATAACATTGTATGTTGCTTTTATTACTGTCAAAATCAGATCATCTACCTTTTTATTGTGAATTTTTGCTTCTATCACCTCTCAATTTTCAAGAACTCTCTTATTGTCATTTTGAACCTCGACCTCCATTATTTCTTTCTTTGAAACCTCTTCCACGACTTCTCTTGTTGAATTTTCCTCAATTATCATCATTCTTCAGGTTTTGCTTAGCCAATAAGGCTTGTTCTGAATTGAATTTATCATCTGCTATTTCACGTAAACGTTGTTCATAAGCCTCCAAAACCCCTATAATTCTTCCAACTTCATTAAATCCAAATTCTTGAATTCTTCGATTGCGACAAAAATCATATCGAATCTTACATCGGGAGTCCTTAATACCTTCTTAACTATCACTCGTTCTTTTAAACTTTCACCATACGATTTCATCAAGTTTATGAGAGAGTAATATTGTAAAGTATTTTTAAATGGTTTCTTGAGTTCCCATATACAACAGCTCATACTGACGAAGGTTTAAAGTCACACAATCTTCAATATTTCTACTTTTGCATAACTCTGTCCCTATTATATCCCAGGCTTCTTTCGCCATATTTGTCAATGAAATATTCTAAAAATTGTTTTCATCAAAATACTGATGAATGTAAAACAAAGTTTTACAATCACGTTTCTTTGCATAACGAAACATAACACGTTGTGCCTCGATGGGATTCTCCAATAACTCATCATATCCAGTTAGAACAATATCCAAGACTTCTTGGAACCCAAAGATGACATTTATCTTCACATACCAACTATTATATTTATTCAAATTTTTGCTATCCAGCATTAACATGTTGTCTTACAACCCAGTTATTGTCATCACCATTCCCAAATCTTGAGGTTTTTGATACTACTATTAGTAAGAAGAGGTCTTAGACATAATTTCGAGGTGCAACCCAGTTATTGTCATCATCATTCCCAAATCTTGAGGGAGAGAAAAATAGTACCAAAAGAGGTGTTACTAAAAAGTGAAAATAAATGAAGTGTTATTATACAATTATGCACACTACAACAAGTGTATATAAATACAATATTTGTAATTGAAAAAACTGAAATTTAATTAAACCTAACTTCCTAACAAATCAATTATTAATTGTTTAATTTTCATCCAACAAATTTAAATGTAGAATCAATGACAGATGTTGACCATTGATTTTGGGCTAAATAATATATTATTAATAAATAATAAATGAATATGAAATGATAATAATATTGTATACATGAATCATTATTAAAAAAATGTATCTATATTAAAAATCACATTTACATGCCCCAAACATTTACAGGTTAAGAAGAAAAGAAAAGAAAAATTACATAAAAGCACACCCACGGTAAAAAACAAAACCAAACAATAAAGAGAAAAATTAACTATTAAATTAATTAACTAACTTGTTAACAATACCTTAGTTAAACTCATCTAACACAATACTTCAATTGTAATTAAATTTCAATGATTTTTTTTACTATTTCATTAATTGGCTCCTCTCTCATTTTTATTTTCATGAATTCAGATATTTTATTATTTTTTATATTTATTTGACATGAAATATGTAACAAAAAATATTGGAAAAACTAAGTTATATTAAATATAAAAAATAAAATAAATTTTAAAAAATAGATACTAAAATAATAGTTTATAAAAACTACAAATAATCTATTAGTAAGAATAATTAATTATAAGATAAAATATATTTCTATAATAATTATGATAAATATTTGTTTTTATATGATTAAAATGTTTTATCTATTTTTATATAATAATTATAATAAATATTTTTTTAATATAATTATAATATTTTATTAAATAATTATGTATTATTAATTATTTTGTAAAAAATTTCAATTATGTTTAATAAAAATATTTTTAGTTTCTAATTTTATTAGTTTTAATCCTCACAATTTCTCACACGTGTATTTTAATTTTTATATTTTTCTAAATCAATTTTTAGATATTTAATAATTTAAGTTATTTTCTTTATAATTACTTTTTAAAATAATATAAAAATCATAATTTTTTGAGGTTTAATTTTTGAAGTATTTTATTTACCATAATTTTTTAAATAAAAATCGTACTTTTATAGCATTGAAAATTATAAACATCAATATATAAATAAAATAAATAAATTATTTTTTTAATAATAGTTTAAAATTTAATAAAATAATTAATTATATATGAAAAAAATAAAATGTTTTAATTATACCTAAAAATAAATATTTATCATAAGTATGTATAATATATTTTATTTTTAGTCATTGCTTTCAAATTTTAAATGATGTTGGAATCGGTTGCAGTTGTTCCTACAGTACACTACCTGCAGACGATCCTCCCTCCTTTGCTCTCTTCTTCTTAGTCGTTCCTTTCTCCTTCATCTTCTTTGGTCTTCTTCTCTTACCCCCGTGAATTCCAATAACGGATTCTCTGAACCGAAATAACTGAAATCCGGTCCCTGAAAAGATCCGAATGAGGGATCCGAATCTGGAGTTGCAGGAATCGGGTTGGGAGGAACTGCGTAAGGAAGCGCGCAAGATCGAGGGCGATCTGGACGTCAAGCTCTCTTCCTACGCCAAACTCGGGGCTCGCTTCACACAATCAGGTTCGTTCCATTCATGGTTCAATTGTTCATTGCAATCTTAAACTGAATGAACACATATTCCAGATTCTCATTCGCGTTTCTATGTTTTCTGAAGTTTGAATATTCTAAATAAAAAAAAGCTGATAATCTCACACAAGATGTAATTGGATTGAAAAATTCTGGTGTTAATCCTTTTAATTTCCGATTTGGTAATTGCAAGTGATTATTACTAGTGTGTTTCAGTCCTTTGTTTATTTTTTATGTAGGCATTGTGTTGTTGAAATGGAAATGTTTTTCTTGCATGTGAAGTTGTCCTATATCTGATTAGTTAATTATTACTTAACTACGGTAATTAATCATCAATTATTTTTAGAACTGAAATGTTAGCCAAATGATAAATGTTGTTTATCTATAACTGTGTCTCTGTATGATGGTTTTGAAGGTCTCTGCAACTGCATTTCGTGTTTGCTTAAAATTGCAAACACAGTTTATAAACTTAAATTATGATATTTGTTTTACATCTTGTGGTGGAGTCATTTATTGCCACAAAATACTTATAATTGAAAGAAAGCTAAAGTTTCAAAATTGGAAATGTGGGAGAAACTGCCGTGGTCTCCTGATAAACAGTCTTGATGCAGTTTATAATTGAATTGAATGCATTAAATTTGGCACAGTATTTTCTCTATGTTTGTGAGTTATGAGAATATACCTCTTGTTATTAGGCAATGTGGATGGTGGTTCACCACCTCTTGGGTCCAATAGGTCTTGGAAATCAATGGAAATGGAAATCCAGTCTTTGCTTGAGAAACTGTTGGACATAAATGATTCAATGAGTAGATGTGCTGCATCTGCCGGACCAGCTACTTCTGTAACTCAAAAGTTGGCTAGGCACAGAGACATCCTTCATGAGTTTACCCAGGTATGTTTACATTACATTTCTATTTTGCATAGTCTAGTTTAAAGCTTCAAGTATCAGGTCAAAAAGAAGACTCTCTAGCAATATATATTGTTTCATAAGTATATGTAGTTCATTATTGCATATCCTTTGTTTAGTAGATGGATGGACATTGCATTGTATTTTACCTGCTAAACTTGCAGATCCTAAGAATTGGTGCATTTTTTTTCCATCTTGTAATGCTTGGTGCAGATTAGCCATACAATATTCAGTTTTCTATCGAATTAGTTTTTGGAACCTCAGTCAAATCAGTGGATTACTCCTTAGTTTCAACCAATTTAAAACCATGGCGAAACTTCAGTTTAACACTTCTATTAAATCTGTTCAAACGGACTTGGGTGGTGAATTTAGGCCCTTTACAAATTACCTAAGTCAGTTTAGCATTATACATTGTGTCATATATACATCACCAAAATGTTGACATTGAGAGAAAACATTGTCACGTTGTTGATGTAGGTCTTACACTTCTTAGCCAAGCTTCCTTACCTCTCTTCTTTAAGGATGACACTTTCTCCAAACTGTTTATCCAACAAACATACTTCCCTATGCTACTATTAATGTTCAAAATACCCTACATCAAGTTGTTTAACTCTGCTCCTCACTACACTTTCTTAAAAACTTTAGGTTGTTTCTGTTTTCCTCTTAGATCCTATCGTAATTAGAAACTTCAATTCAGATCTCAAGAATGCTTATTTCTTAGGGATTCTACTTTTCATAAAGGCTATAAATTATTCTCTCTTCTGGTCGTTTTTACATATCCAAGGATGTTATTTTCAGAGAAAATAAATTTCCTTATACTGTTTTGTTTGCATCAAAACCTTCTTCATCCCCATGTAATACTGTCAAACATGTGTCCTCTCTTATGTTGTGTCCTCTCACTCTGGTGTCTCTGCACAGAATGAATCCCCTCATATTACTGAACACAATTGTAGTCCCTCACACAGTCATCCAGTTTCAACAATAATATCTCTTACCATATTGACAATCCTATTCTGTTATCTCCACCTTTTGACACATCATCTCAGCCTCTTTCTATGTCTCAGCCTATGAATTCTACCATTGTCCATATTAGTTCACAACCCTCAAATACTTTCCGTATGCAAACTTGTTCTGAACCCTGTATCTTTAAACCTAAAATACACCCAACCCTTCTCCTAACATGAAGGAACCTAAGAGTAACAAAGCTGCAGTTCAAGATTCAGGATGGTTTACTGCTATGAATGAACAATTTTCAGCTCTCCAGAGAAATAACACTTGGTGACTGGTCCTTCTTCTTCCTATCTGTGTAAGTTCTAGAATAGGTCCCTAAATATCACTGGTGAGTGATGGTAAATAAAAGATCAAATATTTTGTAAGGTTGTGATGCATAAGAAGTGTGGTGATGCTTGAAAAATTTCACGAGTAAAGGCAGATGACCTTTTTCATCTTGAAAGCTTCAAGCAAAAGTGGTTTATAACTTGGATGACCTAACTCACTTATAAAATCAACTTTGTAAGGTGGACATTGCCTCTACTTATATACTGTTTTTAGGTTCCTGTATTGAGTTTGATACGTGGATAAAATGCTAGGTGACCATTATTAGTGGATATAGGATAGATTTTGTTACTATCTTTGAATGTGGGTTTAGGTCTAATTCAATCCTAGAAAATTGGTTTATAAGATGAGTACTATCTTCACTTACATACTCTTTAGGTTTTATCTCTAGGAAATTGGTTTATAAGATGCTTAACAATATTTGGCTTAGTACATGGATAACATGGTGGATGACCCCTTTTTAGTGAATTTAGGATAGACTTTTCACCATCTTAGAATGTGGGTTTAGGGTTGCCTCCACTTATATACACTTTTTAGGTCTTTATCTATATTTGATGTGAGACTTTATTCAAATAGTGTTTAGAAACAAAGCTAAAACTGAAAAAAGTGTGTTGAGTTTCAGCAAAGGTCAGATCCCTCTCTAAAGATGTGGAATCCATCATTCTCCCTAGCATTGTCATTAATAATACATAAGTTTATTGCTTGGAATTTAGTTTACAATAGAAAGAACATTACAATGCTGATCATGAGTTTTTTAATAAAGGAAAATAAGTTGCATAGCAGGTTAGGAGCAGGAAGAATGATGGGGGTAGTTAGAGAAAGAGATAGTTTTGACTATTGTGCATGCCATAGAATTTAGTGTCAAAATTGGTTAAGGAAGATAGCCAATCTTCTATCAGATGTGGTGATTCTTAAAACTTGTCAGTGCTTGTACTTAATGCTATTCTCATCAAAATGAAACACTTGAAAATGGAGAGAACTTCTCAAGTCTGTATTTTGAGAAGATGGAAATGAATACTGTTAAGGTTCCAACATAAAACCAATTGGCATTATGTGGAGTAGCCTAATATGTATTTAAATCATACCAAATGATATGAGGTAAGCGATGTGGGATTTCCAACACGCCCCCTCCAACGAAGCCTGCCGGACCAGGCAAAGGGTACTTTTGACCCAACGAAAGGACAACTTTTGGCCCAAGACAATAACCGGAAAGATGTTAGGCTTTGGCTCTGATACCATGTTAAGGTTCCAACATAAAACCAATTGGAAATATGTGGAGTAGCCTAACATGTATTTAAACCATACCAAATGATGAGGTAGGCGATGTGGGATTTCCAACAAATACATTGAATTTGATATTTTGATTTCATTTCTTTAGAATGTTTTGACTCACAATAATGAAGAATAAGAATGTGCTCGGACTGTTATTATGTTCTTGTCCCAATTGTAGGCTTTTTAAGCAAATGATGATGAACAGGGATGAAGTAAACTACAAATTACCTGGCTTGATCTTATGAATGTGTTCAATTAAAAAATTAAGTATGGGATAAAATCACACGATATATCCTCCTTTACTAACAACAAGACCTAATCCCACTAGATGAGGTATGTTAATGGGTTCTAGCCATGATAACATGGCAGGGCGGAGCTGGGGCAGCTTTTGCCTCCTTGCCCCTCACCCCAGATATTCTTAATTATGCTTGTTCTTTTTTCATGTATTGTTTTTATACATAAATAAATATTTGTAATTTTATAATTTTTAAATTATTATTATTGATTTGGTATATATTTTAATTTATTAAATTTATATTAAAATATGTATATACAAAAAATGTAAGGTCATTTTTTTTCTTTGGATATAGAATATGTATAACATTATTATTATTATTATTATTATTATATACGATAACATTATACTCAAATTTTTGATCATTACATGTATAAGTTGATTATTTTTTAACTTTGTTATTTAAAAATGTTAATAAATATGAAATGTATAGTTTATAATAAAATATTTATTAAGTTAATTCTTATTGAATTAGTGCAATGAAATAGAAGTTTTAACTATCAATCATTCAAAATTATCAATCCTTCAAAATACGATTATTTAATTAACATAAAATTTGATATATGATAAATAAGAATAGGAAAATCCAGAAAACATGTCATAAAATCTAATAAAGACAAACTAGAAAAAAAAAAATAGTACTAGGTATTACTAAGATAGATGCGAGAATATTTAGAAAAATATAAAAAAACAAAAAAATTAACCTTATGTGTTCACCAAATTGATTGAAGAGATTAAAGAAGTCAATTTGGTTGAAGAGATTGATGAAAGATGAAGGACTGAAAGGTGAGAGAAAGAGAAGATTGTGCCAAATTGGTTGAAGATATTGAGAAAGGAAAAAGAGTTAAGAGTAGATGGGAGAAAAGTAAAAAGTGTAAAATTGTTAGGCAAGAGGAATCATCTGATGTAAATATGCCTTTAAGGGTCTACACTAGGAAGAATAGAAATTAACAAGTGTCAGTTAGTTAGTTAGAAAGCTGTTAGAGCCATGCTGGTAGTTATTTGGGTAAGAAGAATAAATAGCTTCTTCCTCATGGAAGAGGGGAAGAGAAGATTTTGTAAAAACTGATAGTTCAGTTGTGAAAGAAGAAGAACATTTTTCTTGTAATCGTTTGAGAGATTTCAATACTAGTGGATTCTTTCATTCTGTTGAGTGTGTTTGTTATGTTCTCTATGAATCCTTATTCATTCTAGAGTAAGGGCATACGAAGATTCATAACAATTGGTCTGACTTGTCACAAGCAACCTCATGGATTGTGTAGAGGAGCGATTCTCGACTTTGGAATCTTCAGTGGCTTCGCTAACCGAAGCATTCAAAGAATGGAAATCTGTTATCAGCGAATTAAAGAAGGAAACGAAATTAACGAAACAAACGATCACTAGGATGTCCAAGAAAGTTGATCTTATTGATGACATGCACGGCATGTTGCAAACACTTATGGCGCACTGCGGGCTTCATGCGTTACCTAGTGACGCGGAGGAGGATGTATCTGAGGGGGAATCAGAACAACAATCTGAAGCAGTTCTTGTTTCAAGTGATGATGAGGATGACACATTAATGCGACCATGGTCAAAGAAAGTGCAGATGCCACTGTTTGAAGGGGAGGATCCCATGGGCTGGATCACACGCGCGGAAAAATTCTTTAACGTGCAACGTGTCAAAGGAAAACAGAAGTTGCGGTTCATTCATATGGAGGGCAATACGATTTATTGGTTCCAGTATTGGAAGAATCAAACCAAACGACCCACATGGAAGACATTCACAGCAGCTTTGCTACGCCGGTACGGTGGCACTGGGGGCAGCGACGTCTATGAAAGATTAGCAGCCATTCGTCAGATAGGTAGCGTGACTGACTTTGTGCAGCAATTTGAGATTTTAGTGGCGCAGATTCATGGGGTGCCGGACGCATAACTACGTGGTTACTTCTTAGCCGGACTTTGTGAGGATATGAGGAACAAGATTCGGCCACATCGACCTAAAGATCTCATTGCTGCCATGGATTTGGCACACGATTTTGAGGAAGTAGAAAAGGGGGAGTTATCAGCGGGTGAGAGTTGTAAACGCCCTTTCCGATTTCAAGCAAAGGGCAGCACCATGACACGTAGTGTTGAAGGGAGTTTTGGGAATCCGACTCAAGCCGCATCATCATCAAACAAGCTCACTTCAACAAATTCGCGTAATATGGGTAGTTTCGGGACTATTTCACAGACAGGGTTCTCCACCACGGTTCCAAGACCACGTGGGGCTAGGAATTTGCCATATCAGGAGTGTATTCGAAGAAGGGAAGCGAAGTTATGTTATCACTGCAGTGCCCCTTATGTTACTAGTCACAAATGCCTCGATAAAAACCTTTGCCTTATACTAGCAGCAGATGAGGGAATTAATGAGGATGGAGATATTGCCCAGTTGGATATACAAAAGGAAAATCGGGAAAAGGTGGAATTACAGTCTGAAGTGGAGTGCCAATGGATGGACCTTTCAATATGCTCTGCTGGGGTTTTCACTCAACCACAAACAATGAAATTAGAAGGGAAAGTTCAAGACAAAACCGTTTTCATTCTAATTGATAGTGGAGCTAGCCACAATTTTATTTCTCGCCAATTGGTGACTCAACTGGGGTTAAAGATCACACCCACTTGTTCTTATGGAGTCAGGCTTGGAGATGGCAACAAAAAAATGGCACAGGGCTGCTGTGAAGGAGTAGAAATAATACTAGGACAGGTTACAGTGACAGAGAATTTCTTTCTCTTTGACTTAGGAGGTGTAGACCTAATCTTGGGGGTAGCCTGGTTGCAGAAGCTGGGCGACATTAAAATGAATTGGCAAGCCTTAACAATGCAATTCATGCAGAATGACAAACTAGTGCAAATACAGGGCGATCCAGGTTTAACCAGGTCTGTTGTATCACTTCAGACCCTATGTAAGAGTACTGAAATTGAGTTGTCTGTACTATTATGGGTTTTGGATAAAGCGGTGCAGGAGAATTGTCAAGTGAGGGACTCCCCCAAACAACAACAACAACTATAGGAAGTTTTGGATGCCTTTCCTGAAGTATTTGTTGACAAAACGGGTCTACCACCCCACAGATCAGTAAATCACACCATTCCTATTAAAACAGGGACAAACCCAATTAACGTCAGGCCCTATAGATATCCACATCTCCAGAAAAAATGAGATTGAGAAACAGTTGTTGGAAATGTTGGCGGCGGGAATTATAAGGCCTAGCAACAGTCCCTATTCTAGTCTTGTTATTTTGGTGAAAAAGAAAGATGGTAGCTGGAGGTTCTGCACCTTAAATAAAGCGACAATACCTGACAAATTTCCCATTCCAGTCATTGAAGAATTGCTTGATGAATTACATGGAGCTCAATATTTCTCTAAAATTGATCTCAAGGCAGGATATCATCAAATACGGATAAAACCAGAAGATGTCCACAAAACAACATTTAGAACTCACCAGGGCCACTATGAATATGTGGTCATGCCGTCTGGACTGACCAATGCACCGACTATATTCCAGTACACTATGAATTTGATCCTACAACCTTTTCTTAGAAAATTTGTATTAGTATTTTTTGACGACATCTTGGTATATAGTCCTCGGTGGGGGTTACACTTGGAGCACTTGAGGAAGGTATTGCAAACCTTGAAGAACAATGAGTTCACTGCTAATTTCAAGAAATGCATTTTTGGACAGAAGGAAATAGAGTACCTGGGGCATATCATCTCAGGGAAGGGAGTCGCTATGGATAACAAGAAGGTTGAGGCATTCATGCAGTGGCCTCTGCCCAAATCAGTAAAAGCTTTGAGAGGATTTTTGGGTTTGGCCGACTATTAAAGAAGATTCATCTTGGACTATGGGAAGATTGCTAGACCATTGAACAATATGCTGAAATTGGGTAACTTCAAATGGACAAAGGAAAGTTCCGCAGCTTTTATCAAATTAAAGACAACACTTACTACAGCTCCAGTCTTGGCTATGCCTGACTTCACTCAACAATTTACTATTGAATGTGATGCTTCTGGGAAAGGCATTGGAGCAGTGTTGTCACAGAACAAGAGGGTAATAGGCTACTTCAGCAAAACCTCTATCTGAAGCATCTCTAAAGAAATCAGTGTATGAGAAGGAGTTGATGGCTTTAGTCTTGGTTATTCAGCATTGGCGGCCTTACCTACTCGGAAGAAAGTTTCTGGTCTATTCAGATCAGAAAAGCTTAAAATATCTGCTAGATCAAAGGATCACAACACACAACCAACAAAATTGGTTAGCCAAATTGTTAGGGTATGACTTTGAAATTGTTTATAAAACTAGCACAACCAACAAAGTCGCAGATGCTCTCTCTAGAAGAGAAGAAGACAAAGATTCGAAGGCTTTATCAAAACCTTTTTGGACAGGCATCACAAATATTGATACAGAAGTATTAACAGATCCTCACTTGGCGAAAATCATCACTGAGTTGCAAAAGGACGCAGAATCACACAAAAATTACACCCTAGAGAATAGAAGGTTGTACTACAAAGGTAGGCTGGTATTACCCACTACGTCAACTTGGATCCCTCATTTATTCAAAGAATTTCACGCTACTCTAATTGGGGGCCATTTCGGAGTATACAAAACTTATAAAAGGTTGGCCCAATTGGTATTCTGGAAAGGGATGATGAAAACTATGACTAACCTAGTAGCTGCCTGCCACATTTGTCAAAGGAGTAAATACCAGACCTCGTCTCCTACTGGTTTACTGCCACCATTGCCAATTCCAAATGCAATATGGGATGATATCAGTCTGGATTTCATAGTGGGACTTCCCAAATCCAGGGGCTATGATGCTTTACTTGTAGTGGTGGACAGGCTAAGTAAATATGAACATTTTCTATTATTGAAGCACCCTTATTCAGCTAGGTCAGTGGCTGATGTGTTTGCCAAAGAAATAATCAGGTTGCATGGTATCCCCTCTTCAATTGTGAGTGACAGGGACTCACTTTTCCTAAGTAACTTTTGGCAAGAACTATTTAAGAATCAGGGAACAACGTTGCAAATGAGCAGTGCATACCACCCTCAATCAGATGGCCAAACCGAGGTACTAAACAGCACTTTGGGAACTTACCTCAGATGTTTTTCACTGAGCAGCCTAAGTCTTGGGCAGATTTCATTCCGTGGGCCGAATATTGGTATAATACCTCTTACCAAGGAGCAGCCAGATGCACTCCTTTCGAAGTAGTGTATGGGAGGGCTCCTCCATCATTAGGGAATTCATTCTGGGCGAAATTTTAATTGAGGCAGTGGCTCAAGACTTAATGGAAAGAGATGAGGCTCTTATCCAACTCAAATTTCATTTAAACAGAGCACAGGATCACATGAGCAAATATGCCAATGCTCATAGACACCTTCCAGAATCAAAGAAGGGGGCTGGGTTTACTTTAAAATAAGACCCCATAAACAGGTTTCTATGTTGGGGAGACTGCATCCCAAGCTAGCAACACGATATTATGGACCTTACTTAGTGATTAAACAGATTGGAGCAGTGGCATTTTAGCTCCAACTACCCCCACATGCCCGAATTCATCCGGTTTTTCATGTATCTCAACTGAAGTTGGCAATAGGACATCATGAAGCTGAGACAGAGTTGCCTATGGATTTACAAGACAGGGGGCAAGGACTATACAACCTGACCAAGTGCTGGGAACTTGTACTTTAGACGGTCACAAAAAGATATTGATTAAAAGGAACGATCAACCAACAGAAGGGGCAACAATTTACAGAGTTCAACCTTGAGGACAAGGTTGTTTTTCAAGGGGGGGGGGGTATTGTTAGGCAAGAGGAATCATCTGATGTAAATAGGCCTTTAAGGGTCTACACTAGGAAAAATAAAAATTAACAAATGTCAGTTAGTTAGTTAGAAAGCTGTTAGAGCCATGCTGGCAGTTATTTGGGGTCAGAAGAATAAATAGCTTCTTTCTCATGGAAGAGGGGAAGAGAAGTTTTTGTAAAAACTGATAGTTCAGTTGTGAAAGAAGAACATTTTTCTTGTAATCGTTTGAGAGATTTCAATACTAGTGGATTCTTTCATTCTGTTGAGTGTGTTTGTTGTGTTCTCTATGAATCCTTATTCATTCTAGAGTAAGGGCATACGAAGATTCATAACAAAATAGAGAAGAAACAATACTTATGAGATAAAGAAATTCTTTCAATAATGTGAGCAAGAAAGAGAAGCACTTGAGAGATGGTTGAAGTTTTAGAGTTAAGTTTACATATAAGTCAGGCTGAAGATGAAAGCAGAATTAGAATTGTATTACCCATTTCCACTCTCTAACCTGATTCTTTAAAGAGGGAAAATCCAAACCCGAACTTTGGTCAATTCAATTTTTTTCCGTCAACCTGAAACAGAGACGGATCAGTCTAATGGATACAAATTTGATTATCATCCCTATATAGTTCACATGATGCCATTCGGCTCAGTTAAAAACCGAGGTTTTAAAGATGCTTTTTGCAATGAAATTCCTTTTGACAAACTTTTTGGTCTTCCTCGTCACAGGATTAAAATCCATGTGATCTATTATTATCAGTAGTGCATCGCTGTGGGCTTTTTTGTATGTATGTATCCAAACCAGCTCATCCTCCAACAGTAAGAAGTGGAAAATTTGATCTTTAGATGTACTCAGTAGTCCATTTCAAGCTAGTGGCTACTATGGATAAGACAGGTGTAATGTTTAGGTCCGTTTGTCAAAGTTTCAGTTGAGACCTTATTAATCCTTTTTAAGCTTCAAACGATGTATTAGTAAGTAAACATAATATTTGTGCTATGAAATTGGGCAGTGCTCTACAGATATTTTAACTTGAGTTTTCTGATGGTGATCTAACTGTGCATGCTTTAAGCAATTCCTTCTAAGTGTAATCTCACATCATACTGACCTACCATACTACCATGACGTATTTATATTTCACTTTGACATGATATATCGTGACCAACTCCCTACGTATTGTTATACTAATTTTCAGTTAAGATTGATAAAGTTTAAATAGGAACTAGAAAGATTTTATAAATTAGAATGTTACTATAATGAATAAGATATTATTGATACATTAAAATTTTTTATTACTCTGATAAGTTGACTTTAAAGATGTTTAACTTATTATTTGCTAATTCTCTCAGGAATTTAGGCGTATCAAGGGGAACATAAACTCCATGAAGGAACACGCAGAGCTTTTGAGTTCGGTCAGGGATGATATTACTGACTTTAAGGTAAATATATGAGTATGATTTGAATTAAATAACACAGATATTTTCTCATAGCTTTCTTCTGGCAGACATCGGGCAGTATGTCACCAAGGATGCAGTTGCTACGGGAGAGGGCTGCCATCCATGGAAATATATCTCATGTAATTATTCTATGAAGTATTGTAAATTTGTATTCTACGTAAATTCTCGGTTGGTGAACATTTCTTTATTTGCCAGTGATGACAGCTAAGTATGCATTGAAAGTTACACCAGACGGGACAAACCAGGCTTGCTCTGGGGTTTACACAAAATTTGAACTAATGTCATACAGCCTGCTGTAGCTAAAGATTTGTCATTTGGTGTCTTCTGTTTTATTTTTTCTTTTGGCTCCATATCATATGGTGTCTTTTAAATCATATCAGGTTTAAGCCAAAATCATAGGCTTCCCAATGTATAAATTTAATTGGAGATTTAGATAATATTCAGTAATCAGTATCCCAATGGATCTCAAACTATAATCCTTTTCTTTTAAATAACCAGATCCTTCTCCGCTATGAAATACTGTAGCATAAACTATTGCATCTGTGCCGTTCTTGGTTCCTACATACATGGTGGCATTGGTGTTTAGTCTGATATAGTTAATTCTTAAAGCATATTGTTGGACTTATAATTTTAAATTCTCAAAATTTGCAGTACTGCATTAATCCATTCAAGAATATCTTGTAATAATGTTTCTTCTCTTCAACAAAAAAAATCTTGAACACCCATTTGCTTTATATGTGAATGGCTGTGTTCTTTTCAAGAATGCTGACATATTGTCATAATAATGGATCTTGGTGAAACATTTTTCTTTTCAGCTCTTATTAAGCATGTTATCTGGATTTTAAGGAAGTGTTGATTAACACTCCCAGCATTTTTTTTCAGATAGATGATGTCATTAGTCAAGCTCAAGCAACAAGAGCTGTGTTGGGTTCTCAGAGAACCTTGTTTACTGATGTTCAAGGAAAAGTGAAAGGTCTTGGTGACAAGTTCCCCATGATTCGTAGCCTTCTTGGTATGTTGTAGTTTTTATCTTCTAATTTTCCATTGTTTGTCAGATTGACCTCTCATTGTTGTTGACCAAGTATGTGCTGTTGCAGGTTCGATAAGAAGGCGGCGCTCAAGGGATACTCTTATTCTGTCGGCAGTAATTGCTGCTTGTACGTTGTTTCTCATCATTTATTGGCTCTCAAAGTAACAAAAATATTTTGTAACACATTATAAATCATGGTACTTCTATCTATTGAATTTTTCCGCTTCTTTCTGTTATTTCTATCTTTTGTTTTTTAGGGGAGGGAAAGTCTAGGATTTTGTTTTTCAATCCACTCACTGTCTAGGAGCCTCATATTTGTATGTCAGTTGTCGACATTAAAAAAATTATTTGATTTTTTAGATAAATCAGTATCAAATAGTAAAGTTCCACATTGGTCTGGTCTTATGCCATGTATAGATTCTAATAACAAACTGAAGTTCACAGCCAGGAAATGGGAAACATGCTTTGCGTTAGGCTGATTTACCTTCTGCAACCGACAATACGCATTCAACATACTTTCTTAGCGTTGCCTCATTAAGTTGCATGTGTTTGGAAAGTGAGGAATCTTCATTTTTTTTTTGGGTTTGATAACCTATTTATAACATTGGGAAAAGTATATATAATATACTAAAATTTAAGATGTTCATGTTGACTCTCAATACATCAGATAAAGTTAAAATTAGTAGTTAGTAATTTTATATATCTCGTTCATACTTGAGTTTTGAGATATCCAGGATATCCAGTTGTGTAATTTTAGTTGTTCTTCTATGATAGCACGGGGTTGGGCCATATTTGTCAAATTACTAGTGTGGGGGGGGGGGGGGTCGAGTGCCAAATTGAAAGCGAACTTCCGATCTTTGATGGGAAAAAGTCATGTGGCCACAGCAACGATGAAGTAAGTAACTTAGAGCAAGTTAAGAACGCTGACTTAAGCTGAGTGAATTAAAGTTGACATAACTGTAGAGTGGGTCTGGGAAATGCACCCACCAAAAAATTTCTTCACAATTTGTAGTAGCAAGCATTTTTCTTTTGTATTTTATACAGAACATGATTTGATTGGACACGTGAAATCACCACTACTACTTGCTTCTTGTCTCTATTTGTATACAAGACCAGCTTGCCGTGCATGCACTTGCTGGCAATTTTTCTTTCCCTGCTGGTGCGTGGTCCCTTCATGTCTTGATGCTGCTGTGGTCCTTGTTCAACATTCCTATCAGCTTAACCAAGTAATGTGTCTTGTAATAGCTTTTAGATCTCCCCCAGCATGTGCTATCTCATCTTGTCTCCTTTAAAAAAATCTGAGACATATATTTAATCAGTACGCTATTATCATGTCGGCCTCCTGGATTATAAGACTTTAATGTTCGATTGAAGACGTATCACTTGAATAATATATCTATGCTCTGAGCATTCATTGAAATCATAGTGTGGTTCAAACATTTAATTTCAAGAGTTTGCACACAGGCTACATAATTTGCGGTATAATACTCAACTAATTATATATATAGAAAGGGGAGGGTGTGTAGGAAGTACATAATAGCGTAAAATTCTAAAATGAAATTTATGTCCAGGTGTACATATGCCCATACGTGTACACTGAACATGTCGATTAATTGACGCAAATTTGTTACAACTTAATATACTATGGTTTGAGAGTTGGATATTAAATATTGAAAAAAAAAGAGTGTTGTTAGGTACACTAAAATGCTGTTAATTGAATTGGAGTATGATTATATTTTATAATATTAAAAAGAAAGTAAATAAATATGGTGTATTAGATGGTAATATTGGAAGTAAAAAATTCATAACGGAAAATGTGTAGTCAGCTAGAGTGGCTCCATTGGGTTTGAGCTTTGATGAGTTGAAGTGTTTCTGGAAAATATGGGAACTAAAATCACATCAAGAAGCTGACTTGATGCTATTTATGGAGAATCAGGACACGTGGTCCTGCAGTATTTTGAAGCAGGAAAGAGGAGAAGGACGTCGGGTTTCATTTCATGTCGAGTAAAACATGCCTAAGCAGCGAAGCAAGCCACAAAGCTTGAGGAAGAAGATTAGGTATCTCTCTCTCTCTCTTTCTGTATCATCTATGGTTGTAGTATTGTAGGTTAGAGCAGTAGGGGTTTAGATAGTTTTGTAATGTAATGGTTGCTGAGGACAAACTACGCATGTACGTTGTGTTGTGTTACAGTAGGCCTGTACAAAGCACCAGGCGAACATAAATGTCAAAACAGTGATTGCTCCATAAATGTCATCTTTATTGGATTTCTACCCATACACTGGTATGCAAGAGAGAGAGAGAAAGAGAGTCTGTTTGTGTGCATGTATTGCACGAGAGACGTGTTAGGATATTTTTTTCTTTTCCACTCCACACTTTTTAAGAAAAATAATGCTAGTTTACAACACTTTTCAAAATCTAAACAATCTTATTTAGAATATACTAAATAAACAAAATAATTTCTGAAATTCCACTTATTATATTAGTCACTGAAAATGAAAAGAAAAACTTAAATAATTTTTTCATTTTTATGAAATTTTATCTAAGTACCAAATTCTTTTTATATTAATGAAAAAATATAATTAAATTTAAGAAATTAAAATACAAACTTAACAAAAATTCAAGATCTTATTTTAACATGTATTTTTAGAATATATGAAGAACTAATGGATACAATTTCAGGAATTAAATTAGTTATTTTATTTTCAATTTATCTTACAGACAAACTTAGACGGAGAAAATTGTTTTTTTATGATTGATTTTAGTTAAAATTTTAATCTTTTTTTTTTCTATCTATAAATATGTATTTTATTTTAGTTCTAATATTACACTTGTAGTTTCTATAAAATTATAAAAATTTAACGTAGGTCCCTTTATTATTACTATTTTGTCTATTCCCTGTATTTTTAGGAAATATTTGATGTGGTTTTTATATCACTTGTTAGATGTGTAATCACTTAATAAGGACGGGAATTAGAATATTGACAAAAAAACCTTATAAAATAAAAATTAAAGATGATTTAAGCCTCATATATAATATAAACAAACAATTATTTTTCATTTTGTATATAAATATATTAATTTATTTTTATGTATACAAAATTTAGTGATACTATTTTACAAATTGAAACCGAGAATGAAAATTCTCACTTTTTTATGTATAAAATATTTTATATTTAATGCAACCCGAAAAATAGCTTCTTTTAAAAAAAAATTCACGTCAAGTATCTCTACCTTTGCTAAGATGAGAGTTTGCCTGAACAATATATAAACAATTTGTGCTTGTTGTGAGTGATTAGATGATTATAAAAATAAATAGAAATACATTTTTTTGTCTTGCATATTACTAATTTATAAAGTCGAATAATTTTTTTTTATAAAAATAACTTAGATATGCAATATAATAAAAACTTAAATAAAATATATAAATTAAATACTTTTAAACAAAAATAATTTCATTGATAAAAGAAATAGGTTTGTTGTTATATCATTTGATTTTAGAAGACTAAGAAAATATTTTTTAAATTTGCACGATTAGAATAAATTACTTTCAAATTTGAGGACCTAGTATAGTTTTAAATTTTAGAGAAAACAAATTGTTGAATATAAGCGTTATTAAAATTAGATAACGTTAGTTAAAAAAAAATTATAAATAAAAAATTTAACTATTCAAATTTTATTATCATATAATATCATCTTTCTAATTTTTTTCTTCTTTCTAACTTTTTAACTCTCTCGTTTTTATTTATATTCAAGTATATCTTAGTACTGTTAGAGTAGAGAAAATTATCTTTATTTGATCAAAATTACAAATAGAGTAAAAATCTCTTTGTCGTATTTTAAAGTATTTTTGCACATTGGAGGTTAGGGTTGAAAGTGGGGTCAAGGTGTTTGCATGTATACTTTATATAGGAAAAGATAAATCTTAAATAATTTAGAAATATTGTGTATGTTCTAATTGGAATTTTCTGGAAACAATATTTGACTTCTTTATAATTTAAGTCTATAAGATTTTCAACCTTGGAAGCACTATAATTAAGATAAAGAAAGTTAGTTTTATTATGTACAGCACCAAAAGTTAAAAGATTTGAATGTGTTAAGGTTCAGTCACAATGGCTTGAGATAGATTATTTGAGTTGAAAAGCAATTTTTTTTGGATGGTAGAAAGTTGCATAACTGCTGTTTTCTATATAATCCTGGGTGACCATTTGTTCGCTGAGCAGAAATCGTTTCAATGAAAACTTGAGACGTTTGGTTGCTAAGCAACTGAAAAGTTGTCGAGTGAAGGGTTTGTTTGCTATGCAAGCAAAACTTGTGGCAATGGAATATGATATGTGTCTAATTTGGTGAGCGCTCGTGTGACAGAATGAAGAGAGTATTGTCTAACTTCTAGATATCATTTTTTAAATTATTTTAATGCTAAAATTATTTATATTTGTTATACTTGAATATTTATTGTCATTTGATGAATGGAGAATTGAAATTTTTAGTATTTATGTTTATGTTGGGATGTATGATTTTGGATGATAAGTTATAATTTATGAAATAGTATAAGTTATAATGAGTTTTGTATGATGTGATTATATGCAATTGTGATGGTGTGTATAATATGATAAATACTAAAGGATATTCTCATATGTGTAATGTAGTGTGTATGAATATTAAATTGAAAATTCAATTGAATATCTTGACTCTATTTATCACTAAAATTATTTAGATAAAAATATCAGGTGGTGAGAGTTAGAGGAGATTTTTATGACTTAGATCTTAAGATTTACATCAAATGTTGGTTTAATATATCTTGAATTATATTTGACGAACTTTCGAGGTTTATCACTTTAATTTATTACCAGAATTGTCATGTAAGATTTTGAAAATAAAGATGATGGATGATAAAGATAGAAGTTAAAGAATCAAGAGACTTTCATATTTTCATCTCTATTCTTTAAAATCTAAAATCATTTTTAGTTCTTCTCTCCGTCAAGATAAAGAAGAAAATCATTCTAATAGGGTCTAGAAATAGAACTTGCCCTTGTATGGATTTTGTAAGAATTTTGTATACCATTTGGGTCTTAAAAGTAAGGGGTATAAAATATTGAACAATATTACACTAGATTAGCCAAATAGTTCACAAAAATTTCATCCGAGTTTACAAAATAATTAAAAA